TTTTTTTTGAATGGCGGCTTCATTTATTTGATCAAAAATAAAATACAGTAATATTGTGAAATATTGCAATTTCAAATAGCTGTTTTCTATGTGAATATCTGTTAAACTGTAATTTATTTCTGTGATCAAAGCTGAATTTTCACCATCATTTCTCCAGTCTTCAGTGTCACATGATCGTTCAGAAATCTGATTTAGTTCATATTATCATCATTTATTACTGGTGCTCAGTTATTAATAACGATTCTTGTGGTAGATGTTTCGATGACAACCAGGCCAGGAATTCCTGATATTTCCACGTTTTCCAGAACAGTTTTATTCTCTTTAATAAAGCTAGTTCTAGATTTAGCGGATTCTAAATTCATTCCAGACTGTAAAGTGCCTGCGGTTCAGTGAGAAACATTCAATCCCACAAATCAAAGACAAACTCAGTCTTAAATGTACATCAGACTGTAATGAGACAGATTTTATGAATGAGATGAACTCTGAGTTAGAGACCTGCGCGGGACGGATTTTTCAGTCCCGCTCCCGCCCGTTCCCGCAAGATTCTGTCCCGCGCCCACCCACTCCCGCAAAAATATATCTTAACTGGTCCGGCTCCCGCCCGCGACATTCATGTTTTGTCCCGCTCCCGCCCGCATAAAAGTAATCTATATAGATTGTTTTCAGTACATTGAAGAAATTTACATGAAATGGTTCTGTAACATCTCCTAAGCTCCACAACATCCCAGCATAAACACTCCCGATAAAATATTTGTTAACGCACCCTGTTGCGTTGGGTCCCGCGGGTCCCGCGGTACTCCCGCGGGAGTTCAGGTCTCTACTCTGAGTCTCATTAACATGCTCCTGTCTCTCTCACCTTCTTCTTCTTGGTGGGCTGGTCCATCTTGGCCTGCAGAAAGTCGATGAGTTTGGTCTGCTGTGAGATGGTTCCCTCCATTTTTACTTTCTCGTGCGAGTAGACGGCCTGAGAAGAGACCAGGAGGAAGAACATGAAGACACGGATGAGTTTGAGACGCAATGTGGACATTGACACTAATAACCCTAAATGAAACTCAAATTCAGAACTCTACAGAAGACAACAGTGTCATTATTCAGCTCAAGTCAGTTCTCATCCAATACTGTTGGTGGCGCAATCCAGAGTTACTATTGTTAACTAAAACTAAAACTAAACCAAAACTATTTCTTACTTCAAATGAATTTAAAACAAATATTATATGTACTTTATGTCAGCTAGTTGCCAAGGCATCATTTCTCATTTTCATTCAGTTTAACTTGATGCTCTAAACTAAAACAAATGAAAATTTATATAAAAAAATAATAAAAACTAGATACATTTAAAAAAAAAAACAAACTAATAAAAATGACGAAACGCTACAAAATTACTAAAATGATAATGAATACAGAAAATATAAAAGTTAAAAACAAAGTCAAAATATTTATAAAACTATAATAGTATATCAATGATACTATGATTTACAATGACGCCGTAAAAATCAACAATATTACTGAATATTGTGTCTTTTATTTATATTTATTACAGAAAACTCCACGACTGTCTATAAATCAGTTTCTATTAAAAATGATTTAAATCATAATTTAAAAATTCCCTGATATTTCCAGGTTTTCCACGACTGTGGGTCAAGCGGGTAATGTTTTTAAACATTAACTTTGTTAAAGTGCTGTTTCAAATGGAAGCCCGTTAAAAAATTAGAAATTTTATTGTGACTTATCTTACAATTAGCCTAGTATTAGTTTCTGCTTTGGGATGGAAGAACTGTGACATTTCACAGGTACTGTATCTAAAATTCTAATATCATAACCTTATTTCCAGCGAAATATACTTAATATATCACTATCATGAAAATGAATATCACGAATACTTCTATAAGATTTAGATCATATTGCCCACTCCCAATCGTATTAAATTACAACATTGACAAAATAACCATGATTTTTCCCATAACTTCTGATTTGACCAATCTTGTGAGTTTGGGGGCGGGGCTATCTGTTTGATGACCAATGACAGACAGGATTGTGTTCAGAAAACCTGTTTGGAAATCATCATTATTATTTATCCTCCTGTAAAAGTTAAACACTAACATTATTTCATAATTTGAGCCGCATTAATTTATGATACTGACACACATTGTGACATTTTGACTAGTCAAAACTAGGGCTGTCAAATAAAAATGTGAATTTCGAAGATTTGTCGGATTTAAAATAAAAATCCACATTCGAATGCAAAAACGTTGCTCATTCAAAATATTGCAGAAAAAGGGAACATCACTGCGGAGAAGATGTTGTTTACGGCAAAATTGAAACAAAGTCGTTCACACAGAACGCATATTTATCGCATTTTCTATAGAGACATCTAACACTGTTGCACTCGCGTCTCGACCAAGAGCTGCATGTTTGGAAAGCCATGTAAAATTAATGTAAGTTCGACTTTTAAAAAATAAGACTTTATGGCGTTTTTTCCCCCCATCCGTTTAGTACTATGTGATTGGCTTTCGTCGCTTTGTATTGAACTATGCATACATGATGCTGTTTTATTTATAATTGTTTAAGCAACTTAATTATATTAACATTATGCAGTTTTTCACTGATAGTCATGTTATTTTATTGCTATAATAAACGTGCTTTAGTAATATTTTGCTCGATGCGTCCTCTTGTGGCCTCAGGAGAAAAGCCAAAAGCTTTGCGTCCTGCAGTCCCTGCGTCAGTCTGAAGATGTGCGTCTTCTGCAGGTCCATCTGCTGCTGCAGCTTCCCTTGCTGACACACAAACACACATTCATCCATCAGTCAAGAAAAACACCTGCTAGTAACATGAGACTCCTGTGACCACTTCAGATGGGTATTTCAAGGGGAAGATCTCGGATTTCATGACTACATCCATCATTAACTATATATCATAGTATCGTTAGCAAAGGAAACTTCTGATCTCTGCACAGACGTGACGTTCGGAGCAGAACGCTCATCATTATTTTTGTGGAGAAGCTGCAGATCAGAGATACTGAAGGTCTTCTGCAATGTCTTGTGTTTATATGTTTGTTTTCTCTCCAACTGTTTCAACCGGGCAAATTTATCAACATGTATTTTACAGTGATTCTGGTCTACTGACGTATAAACCCTTGTTTTTGCAGTTATTGTGATGAGCAAATGGTCTTTCATTGTGTTCTGGGACACATTCATGTTTACAGTGCAAATCTAAAATGTCTTCACAGATGTTAATAGCACGAGTAAACTGGGACTAGGGCTTTATGATAAATCAAAATGAAAATCGCAATTAGGCAGAAGCTGTGATTGTCATGCGTATCTTTCAGTGAAGCACGGTTCTGTGATCAGCAGTAAATCTCCA